AATATCCAGAGCTTCCCAGGCAAGGATTTGTAGAATTGATGTGATGTTGCCCTACATTCAGAGGAAGTAACAAGACAATTGCAATTTTTGAGTGACTTTGTTTTTGCTATGTCAGATACTAGCGCATATTCAGCGCTTGCTCGTTTGAAAATACTTGAGCCCGTAAATGTAATCCCTAAACCCTAAACAAAATCTAGAATTCCATAAGTGTCTTTGAATAAAATCCTCTTGAGACTACTAAGACGTACTGTTTCCTCCAATTAAATTATTCAGCTTACCATGGAGCAAAAAATTAAATAGCAGTAGTGACGATTAACCTTGTATTCTTCATACCCTTTGAAAACGTCATATTTGCTTCGTATTCTAATTTGAACGAATTGAAAAACTGTGATTGCTGGTTTCTGGAGGTACTGTAGTACCGTGGTCACGTCATCGCTTTCACACAATCTTTACACGAATTAATTGCGTGTTAATGCACAAGCTAACATGTCAGTTGTGTACATATAATGTTAGGAGCACCAGCTGAACAGAAGCATCAAACCACAATAGCTGCCGTACTCATTTATAGATAACATATGAACAAGGGTGATCTCCTTCAGCTGGAAATATGGTCAGTGGTCTTGAAGCAACTTCGAGCTGGAGCCCTGCGGAATTTCAGGAGACCAGAAACGGTATTTAAGGCCTCTATCTGCGTCATGTTCTTGACTGCTTCTGAAACATCGACACCAACGCGCTGTCATCGATGCAGTACGGGGACAACAAAATCATTCAACAACCCCCCATCATCATTTTGTTTGAAAAAAAAAAATTCGCAGGGAATCAATAGTGGTAAGTTAAATTGAATACCTGTATTACTACAATAGGCGATCCCAAGCTGGAGACCACCTTTAAAACCAAACTGATTGTCTGTAGCTGACGAATGGGCTTAAAATCAACGTGATCCGGGTAACCCGCACGATATGGACCAAGCTGCGCTTCCAAGTATGAGTAGTACAAACTAGTACTTCAAAGTACACAGTTCTGTTGAAGCAGTATGTTTTGTAGTTCCTTATATGTCGACTGGGGAAGTTGGACACTTTTGTTTCAACGTACGCGATTGACCAGTCCAAGCTCGTCGAGTTCGGTGAACGAGGATTCTCCGATTCGTCACCATCCGAGGCTAAATATTCATATTGCGCTCCTGTTGATCTATGACGGTTGTATCCAAGTATTAATATTTGTCTTTAACATTATTTTGGTCTGAATAGGTCTTACGCAGGTTTCCCGGTGATTTACTGAGCGAGTCACAGGCAACCTGGAAACGATTATCGTTGCGACTAGCACCTTCACGAGATTATTCGCGATTTGTCCACTCGCTATTGCGAAATGAAGGATCTGGTTAATAGTAAAAATAACAATCACACAAGTAAAGACACTCACGACGGTAGCATCAATTTTCCAAAAAATGTAGTCTTTTGGCAGTATGTGAAAAGCAGCTTTTCTGGTTAGCAGCTGGTAGACCTAGAAGATCGGGGAGTTCGATCGATGCCATAAAGTCTTCGATATTGGATAGTGGTTGGTCAGTGAGAGTTCACCCACTCCGATTGAGTTTGTACGCCTCTAGGAAGCTCAGTTGCGATTTTACATTCCTTCTGTACCAACTCGAATTCTCTCTTTCTTTCTCGCTACCATGCACCGTTAATCTCTGCTACTACTACCGTGTCCTGCGCCATCTTCCCCTCTGGGGTCCTCATTAGGGCACTGTCCTATCCCATCTGGTAGGTGATACGTCTCGGGTGAGGCTTATCACCAAACCAGAAACGACCACCGATCAGGGTTCACAAAAAGCCAGATTTCATTTACAGATCAATGAGTAGAATCGAGTCGTGTTGGGATGGCTGGACAATGGGCA